TTATAAGAAAAAATAAACAAATAATGTGCCTAACTATGTCTGTTACTTTACCTGTAATTCTTTTTTATGTTCGTTTGCAATATCTGCCAACATTCCATCAATTTTCCTTATGCAATTCAGCCCGCCTTAAAATATCCTTTCCATTCGTTCTCTAAATTCCTGTTTTCTAGCTTTAACAGCCACCGTTTTCTGTTTCCGTTTCGAAACACACTTGGCAACATTCCTAACAAAAACAGGATTGTCGAGTATTTCTAATTTTTCTTGAAGTTTTTTTTTAGTATCTCAATTTTGTCAATCTCAACATTCCAATTCTCCTCAGATATATCTTGTGCGTTTCGTCTTAAATTTTTTTCAGTGCTACTTAAGCTTTTTGTTATGTATTTAATTTCTAGTAGAAGATTCTTCAAATTGATAAACTTGCATGATTTATTTTAGTTGATTTGGTTTTAACGTTTACTGAATTCTCAACCTAATGAAAGATATAATAGAAATCAATCAATAATAATAAAAATATATCAATGTATTCATTTATTATTACCTGCATATTAAAATTGTTAGGTGATGCCATTTTAATATTATTAATTCAGTAAAGTGGTGGTTAAATTAAATTAACAATATTCGGTGCCTCCTTCAGATGGTGGCAGTTTTTTTTGTGCGTCCAACAAGAATTGTTCGGCTGACTTGAATTCTTCTGTCTCTACAAGATCTTTTTCGGTGTCCAAAATTGACTTTAAGCCTTCGTAAGCTTTTTGCAACCTGAAAGTAGAAATAATTTATATTCCCCGACGTAAGTTATCTTAATAATCGTAAACAGTTTGTCTATCTTAATGGATTCTTGAGCAACATTGAAATTATCAGTTCAGGTGTTCCTCAGGGATCCATTCTTGGTCCTCTACTATTTATTATTTTTATTAATGACATATCTGATATTATTAGCTGTCCACATTTATTATTTGCAGATGATTTGAAACTATATCTCAAAATAAATTCTATTGATGACTGCTTATTATTACAGTCTCAATTTGACTCTTTCCACTCTTGGTGTGTCTATAACAAATTACATTTAAATATATCAAAGTGCAAGATTCTTAGTTTTTCACATAAGCGCGTTCCAATACATTTTGATTATAAAATTTCTAACACCAGCATTGATAGATGTAATAAAATTTCAGATTTAGGAGTTTTATTTGATTTTGGTTTGTTTTTCACTGATCATATAACTGATATTTGTAATAGAGCACAAAAATCTTTAGGTTTGATACTGAGAAATTGTAAACAATTCAATTCTAACAATGCACTTCTTTGCATGTACTATTTTAATAATGTACGTTCAAAATTAGAATATGGTTCGATCATTTGGTATCCTTATCAAATCAACAACTCTGATGCGATAGAGAAGGTTAAGGGAATATTTCTGAAATATCTTTATTATAAAACATATAAAATTGACCCTGAACGTGGCTTTGACCATAACACTTTACTAAAAGAATTTGGTATTCCTTCCCTTGCCTCACGTCGATTTATCTGTACAATTGTGTTATTATTTAACCTTTGCAATAATTATATAGACTGTCCTCTTATACTTAATTAACTATCCTTTAATGTTCCAAAGCTATCTATGCGTTCACAATTATTTTTCAATCATCCTACTCCTAAATCTAATTCTCTCTTAAATTCGCCTATTCTACTTATGTCCTCTAACATTAATTTAATTAATAATGAAATACTTAGATATTCACAACACTTCACATAATAATCGAATAATCTCCATCTGCACAAGTTAACCTTTTTATTTTCTTTTCAAATATCTCCTTATTTTATCTTATTCTGTTTATAAATATTATTGTTACATTCTGCATTATATGTAATTTTATGTTAAGCATTTTATGTAACTAACTATATATTATAATTTTGTATATATTTTAATTGTTATTCATTATGTAAAATAATTGTATTTTTGAGTCCTCTTGGAGAAATCTGTGGGCTATATATTTAAATAAATAAATAAATAAATAAGTAAAGTTAAAGAAAAATTGCAAGGGGCTTTAAATACATAAAATAGTATTTTCCTGCCATAAAGAAGACTTCGCATCAATCTCTAAATTTTTCTTGATAACCTCAATTTTTTATATTTAATGTATGATTTTGTGAACTAATAAAAATTTGTTCAAATGTCATAAATATAAAAAAAAAATTCACAATGAAGGTGCCCCAAAGAATGTATACATTTTAAAACTAATATACACCATCAACAAATACTAGTATTAAATGCATTATCATTTACCATTTTGAGGTTATGTTACAATTTCACCTAACCATTTATCATTTATAATTTACCTCCTCCTGCAGTCCGGAACCATCATCAGAGCCTCCTGGAGCACCTCTTCCTGTTTCCTGATCTCATATTCGCCTTTTCCTTGATCTTTATAACTAATTACACGTTTTTTTTGCTGTTCGGCTTCCTTTTCATAACAATCAGCTTCTTTAGTCAATCTTTTAACAATACCTGTTTGAATTTTGATTTGTCTGAGTCGTGGATCAGCCATTTGATACAAAATAATTAAGTATTATATTATTGGAATTATTTGGTTTTGATGCACAAGGTTAAATGATGACAATGGGAAATATTTTGAAGATTTTGAGATTGAGAGAAACAAAACAAATGTGTCATGTCGGATTGGACAATGGAGATGAATCATGAATATAATAATAATGATATTTTATGTATGTTTATTTATCTATATATTATTATATTACTAGCCAGGGAGATAAATTTTGGAATTTTGGAGTAAAATTAGAACCTAAATTTTGTGATGGGATATTATTTTAAATAAAATTGTGAATTAAATTCTTTAGTTTCTCAAACTAAACTATTTGTAGCAAGGACATAAATTATAATTATAAGCAACAAACTTAAAAAAAATAGAATTTTATATGTTTTATCGTGCAAATTATATGCTTTAATTTGCTTTTTAAAAAATAATTTTATTTCAAAATTTTGACAAAGTTTATGTCTGTTCCATCCCCATAAGTCTCATATGAATACAAGTACAGTTGGAACAGACCTGTGTGAATTTTATTTAAAAACTTCAAAAAACAAATTAAAGGTTTAAAATGTGTAAACAATTAAGTTATGATGTGTTTTTAGCATATATGGTGTTAAAAGTAATTGAAAATACTAATAAGTATTGAAAAAGTGATAAAACTTCATTTTAGTTTGAATCTGCCGCCATTTTGCTACTAAGAGTAACCAAATTAAATATTGAATTAGGCGCTAAATCTAATAAGTTTTTATCATGTACGTGCAATTAATACCTAAAATTCACCAACAACTCCTTTAATCACGTTTAGTTCATATTTATCAATTTATATCTTTTACTATCTTTTCTATTTTTGAATTTGCCGCCATTTTCCTTTCGCCATTTGCGAATCTTTCCCAGCACGTGCCCTCTCTGGCGTTCCCGACAGAGCCGGTGTGTGCGGTTGTGGCGTTTGCTTTGTTTCTCTAATATAATATCAATAAATAATCCCTTATTAAATGTGAGTGCTAATAAACCACCTTAAATCAATTGTGCTTATAAAACAATTACGGTCTACCTAAGACCGCTCGCCAAAATGGAACACTTTGTTGACATTAACCAAGTTTTGAGAGACAGCACTTGTGAAAATTTAGAACAAGTATTAAAACTTTACTCCGACAATTGTGTCTCCCACGATAATAAGGTGATTGATATAATATACATTATTCATTATATTTGTTGGTTATGGTTTGTTTTACAATTGTGCAACTTTTTATATTTCAGACTGTTGTATCACATATTACAAATTTATTAGGAACTAAAAAGACTGTGAATGAAGGGCTTGTGTATTTAGCTATATTGTTGCCGAGGGGTTCCACAGAAATTATTCATGAAAATGGTATGACATGGTCGTCTCGTGTATACGAGCTTGCGAGAATGAAGATGCAAGTGTTAGAAATCTCGCATATCTTTCATTGGGTAATAAAAGACTCTCTAATAAATATTATAAACTTACACTTTAGGTTTAATATATATAGCTATTATTATTATTTTTTCAGCGTCTCTTATTACAATTATGAGCACTTTGCCCGACTTTTTGAAGTCAGTCTCAAACAACAGCATTGGAAAATTAATGGAATGCATTATGAAAGACCCAACTTTGCTGACATCTTTGTATTGTTTGGAAGTTTGCCTAAAATATCTTCCTGGAACGTGCGGTAATTCTAAAACTAATTTAGAAAAATACTTGCTGAATTTTTTACAAGATCAGAACAAAAATAAAGTGATCCTCGCTGCCAAGTGTATGCATTTGCTACAACAGGTAAGATCACATGACACATTATTATATTTTGTTCAGGATTTTGATTAGTTTATTTTTAGACTGGGGGAGGTGGATCCAAAGGCGTCAATCACAAAACTAATTGGGAAAGACAATTTCGAATGACCATTAATTCTTTGCATTCTTTAATGGATGTGTTGTATGCAAATGTTATGGAAACTGTGGCTAGATCGAATGATGAATTATGTCTGTCGATGCCGCCTTTTAGTATGCCTGATGATCCTGCTCATCAGGTTTTGGAGGTTTCGAAGAGGTTTAATAATCTGTGCTATTTTCTGCAAGTGATGTTGACGTAAGTTATTTTTTGATAATATAAATAAATGCATATATATATATATATATATATATATTATATAATTGTTTCTAACATAAATTTTAATCAATATCCATACATTTCGAGTTCCAATTTGGCCCTTCTTCATTAGACAAAACTACAAAAATGGATATATAAATACTATATTAAATTTATCGTGGAATAGACAACAAAAATATTATAATGTAAGGTAAATCTAGTGTTAAATATAACAAATACATATTTATGTTTGTGTAATTTTTTAATCTCCAGTCTTGCCTTATTACATAATATTTTTGTTGTTTTTTTTTTTCAATAATAAATTTAATGTTTCTTACTTATTTTTTCTACTTTTATCCACTGAAAAAGTCAAATTGAGCCTGGAAATGTATAACTCCATACTAAAATTAATTTAAGAAACATAATTTAGATTTCTTTTTATTCTTACTATTCGAATGGGTGCTGTTACTACTACGTTTAATGCTAAATCATAAAATTGCGGAGAGTAATAGAAAATTTATTGTGTAAGAGAAACTGTATATTCATTTTGTTCTTATTGAGTAATAAATCTGTATAACCAGAAAATGATTACATAAAAAATTATTAGGATTTTTCACCGGTAACACTAAGTACAATAGAAATTAACTGTTTTGATATTTTAGTAAAATTGTTTTTTTAAAAAGACAAAATAAAATTTAAAAACATTAAAAGAACGAAATAAGTAATGATTTATCTTCTATATTGATTGTTAAGGGATCTGTGGTAAAAATATTTAAAAATAGTCATCTGTAGCTTCACCTTTGTGCATTATGACAAATTTAAATAATAAATTGTTTTAAATATAAAATTGAAATGTTAGATATAGACAACTCTTACAAAAAATAAATTCTTACTGTAGAACGGTTTAGGTTTTGCTATAATCTTAGAAAAAAATAAATGGAGATAAAGGTAGAAATATTTATGATTAGTTAGTGATCACATGATTTACTCCATAAAACAATTACAAAATAGAAGTATTCCTCATTTTCACATTATAAAAGTCAAGAAAATTTTTGCAAAATATTAAAAGAAAGTGTTAAGGGTGGACAACCCTTAATGAAAAACAAAATTTGATAATAAGCTTTTCCGTAAGCTCAAGGAAATATTAATTGAAATTCAGTGAAAATCAAATAATCGCAAAAAAATCGAAAATGAAGTTTTTTATATATCTTTACGTTTCAAAGCTTTCTGAATATTTATTTGTCATATCTTAGAATTAGAAAAAATGAATGTGTGTGTGCGTGCGTGCGTGCGGATACAAAATTTTCTCGGCGATTTCGTGAACACGGATTAATTGATTGTAATGATTCAAAAAACATTTTATTCCTATTGATGGTGAGACACACTGATTAGTTTTTGGTAAAGGCAGTAAAAAATGCTTTTACAAGAAATTTCATAATTTTGAAAATTTTCAGAACAAAATAAGAATTTTCATTCATCAAAAACATTTGATTCCTATTGATGGTGAGACACTGATTAGGATTTGGTAAAGGCAGTAAAATATGCTTTTACAAGAAATTTCGTAATTTTGAAAATTTTAAAAACAAAATAAGAATTTTCAAAAAAAAAATTAAGTTTCAAAAAATTTAAATTTTTGCAATTTTTCATCTTTTCATTTTTAAAAATTAAAAAAAAAATTAAAAATAACGTTTCTTACAAAAATTGAGAATATTTCGAAATTTTCAAAAAAAATCAAATATTTCAAAAATTTCAAATTTGCCAAAATATAAGGTTGTCAAATATCTCCCTTCCGCCTTTTTGTATTATAAACCAAGAGCAAAAAGCGGAAGGGAGATATTTGACAACCTAATATTTTTAAAATATAAAAAAAATATTCAAGTTTTTTTTAAAAAAATCTCAAACTATTTTTTTTTCAAAGTTTTCACTCAAAGCGTTTGTAAATTTCAATTTCTTAACGAGAAGTTAAGAAAATTTGCCTTAAGGCGCGATGCCTGCAGCATAAACCCCGACTCCGCAACCACTAGTAGATTACTAATAGTGTTGTATGGTGGTTAAAGGCAGGATTGCATATTTTTTTTATCTCATTTGGTCCAAAATCAAAAAAAAACTTATGAATTTAATTACTTAGCTGATGAATGTAAAGACCTGTCTCGTTTCTGGTCACTTTTATTATTGCAGTACGTCTCATATTTATTTTTATTTTTATCAATCAAAATTTATAATGCATGCAACAACGTGTTGTCATCATTTTTCTGGTATCGCAGACATCACGGCTTTCCCATCGGCACACTGAGCTCCGATCGAAGTTTGGATTCGTTCGAAAGACGATTTCGCGCTCCATTAATATTTTAGTCATATTCTTCAATAGAATGTCCTCGTGTTCCTTCCTAACACTTATGTTGTCTTGCAGCTCTGCAATTGTTTTCTCGAGGATACCACATTTCGATTTTAGTGATTTGTTGTCGACGTCTGCTTCGTCTAATTCTGCTTCTGCTAATTCCAGTTTCTTTTCATGTCGGATATTTTCTTTGCTGCGGAACTTTGCGGAGTTTTCGAAAATCTAAAAAAATAAAGAAACATTATAGAAATTATATTTTAACACTATTCCTACCGGGACCGGTCAAATGACCGTTTTTGATTTTTCGATTAGTATTTTTCATATCAACGTAATTGAATCGTCATCAAACTTTATGGCTTTTCCTAATATGTAAGTATGATACATTTTTCAATGTAAATTTGTTTTTTTCAATTTTTATTTTTGGAAAAAAAATTGTATACTGTCTTACCTACCGCGACCGGTCATTTGACCGGTAGTACGAAAGACGATGTTGGGACGGCATTTTTTGTACTAATTGTTAAGAATATGATCGAACTTACAAGAAAATGTAAATTCAGAAGAATTTAGAGTGGTGAAACCTGCCTTCTGCAAATTTATATGCATTTTTTCCAATACTGTATGCACCCTGCGCATATGAAGCAAGGAGTATAAATGCACTTCTACGGTGTACAAAGTGGGTTTTCTCATTTTTGCTCAATGTCTATGTGTAGATAGATTTTTACCAAGGAATCCAAACAACAAATTGATAGGTTTTGTTTTGAACCCAAAGGTTGGTTCAACTACATTGACAGCAATCAAAATTGTTGTAAAAGACCACATATTACTATCGACAAACATATATTTTCAATAAAGGTAAGGTGTAAATTTATTCAACACATGTTCAATAAAATTCAGGAAAACGTAGTATAAAATTTTAGTAACTGTTCAATATACGATGTAAATATAATTATGCCCAGCAAATCGCACAAATGGGGTGTAAAATTTTGATAACTATCCAGTATATGTAGAAAACTGAAAATTTCTTAGAAGATTTATAACCAATGAAACCGTATTATCAATATCGCTAGTACGATGTAAAAAATTTAAACATTTATACCATTCTACTTATAGCTAAACAGTTAGTAAAAAAGAAACTGTGATGGTAGGTACAATTGAAGCAATATAACAGCTACAAACACTGGTAGAAGTAAAAATTAAGGACTTCACTCAAATAATATTTACAATTTTGGAAGTTAAGAAAGAAGATTCTAATTTTCACTATGTTGAAAAAATTACACTATAAAATTACACGGGAGTCAATTCAATTGGTATTAGCGTCGTGTTTGGTGTAGATGTCATTCATAAAGTAGTCAGAAATCATTCAGTAAAATACGAATTTTAGAGAGAATTTATCAAGGATTTACATTATTTTGTATTTATTCAGGATAAATCTATTGTTTTCACATGAAGAAATTACGGGAAGACTATGTACAAGGCAGGAACTTTTTATTCCAATTAACAAGAATTAAAAAAAAATCAACTAAGTACAAGTACAAAACAGATTTTCTAAAAGAAAATATTCCAGATATTGTTTTAGAAAGATGATAGGGCGAACAAAATCAGCCAAAACGTAAAAAATGCGTGTGCAGAAAATACACTCTAAGAAAAAAATCGTAAAAAATTGGATAAAACAGAATAAAATGTAGATTTCGCATTCTAAAATAAAAGAAATATTTTGTATTTGTATTTATAAACTGTTAAACTAGCATTAACTCTTCATTCGATACTGAAAAATATAGATTTTGCATGACCGGTCATTTGACCGGTCGCGGTAGGAATAGTGTTAAACGCGTTTTTCTCGAAACAGCATTTTCCGAATTTGCTGCAACGATTACTCAAAAACAAATGATCCGATCACTATCGATTTTTTTTACATGTTCCATATATAGTTCTCCGTAAAATGAACTATCGATTTTTTGATTGGATCAAAAATCGAATTTTGGCAGTCCAAAAACGACCAAAATTTTGGGTAAAATTCGACTTTTCTTAAAAAAAAACGCCGTCATTTTGTCAATTTTTGATTTTTTTTCTTCATCGTAGTTCATTTTACAGACAATATTATTTAGTTTAACAAGAATTTTTTTTTTAAATTTCATCCACGTAGAAGGCCGGAATCACTGCAGCAGTGTAGGGCCTTTTTTTGTCGCGCCGTTGGAGATCGACGATAACTTAAATAATGTTTAATTTTTTTCTGCAAGAATTTTACTATGTATTCTTAGGACATGTATAAATATATTCCTAAAAGTTTGAAATGATTGATAAAGTAGTTTTTTTAATATAAATTCCTAAAAAATCACCTTTTTTTAGGCGGTTACACTAGTTGTGCTTCTTAAGTCGATTATTTATACATATCGGGAAGTTCTATGTAACTTGCCACAAGGCAAAAAACCTATACCAACTAGTTAAATATGTATTTTCATTTTTTACTTGTTTAGCATCGAGCAGCTTCTTCTCCAGCTCTTTGGCTCGTTTCTCTTCCAGCTGCAGCTCGTTCTTGAGCGTCACCTCCAGCTTCGTCTTCAGCTGCGCCACCTCCTTCTTCAGATCATCGATTTCGTGCTTCGTCCTTCTATTGTAATAAATCAAATCTTTATTCTGCTCATCGAGCTCATTGTATTTCTCCATCA